ACGGTCACGAATTTGAGATCCTATTTATCACATGTATTCTTTTTTGTTGTAATTCAAAGCCAAATGTTTCCACTGTCGTCGGGGGCCGAAATCGACAACGCAAACACTGGGCGCATTGATTCGGTCAAACAAGTAAAAGTGAAGAGTCATTGAAGAGACAAAAGCGATCAAAAAGAACTTTAATAAAGGTCCAAACACCAAACTAGTTAGAATACAAATAAACAAATTACATTATTTTTAACTTAAACACTTAAAGCAAAAAACGAAAGCAGTAAAAACTATTAAATACATCAAAAAGCTGTAGGAACTACAAGTATTTATCGGGGGTTTCCCCGTCACTCCATGACTTTATTTATTTATTAGTCCCCGTTCGGACACAGTCCGAAAACGGGGACTTATGTTTTGCCCTGTGTGCGTCCGTCCGTCCGTCCGTGCGTCTGTGCGTCCGTGATCACCTGTATCTCGAACATGCATGGACCGATTAAGTTCAAACTTCACTCATACATCACACATTATATGGGACATATGCACATGCATTTTTTTCATGATCCAATTAACGATAGCCGAATAGCGGCCATTTTAAGGCCGAAAATGCATCAAAATCGCACATTTTCACCATTCCGGACCCAGATCTCAGTTATGCATGGACGGATTTTGTTCAAATTTGGTACATACATTAAACATAATAGGACCTTGATGCACGTCATTTTTTTTTTTGGATCGGGTTCGAAATGGCCGACTGGCGGCCATTTTGTTTTAAAGAATTCAGTTCTGGATCCGTATCTGAGACATGCTTGGATTGATCGAGTTCAAACTTCACACACACAAGGTACATCATGTCACAAATATGTATGTGCATTTGTTTCATGATCTCATTAACGATAGCCAAATGGGGGCCGCTTTAAGGCCGAAAATGCATTGAAATCGCACATTTTCACCATTCCGGACCCGTATCTCAGTTATGCATGGATGGATTTTGTTCAAATTTGGTACATACATTAAACATAATAGGACCTTGATGCGCGTCTTTTTTTTTTTCGGATCAAGTTCGAAATGGCCGACTGGCGGCCATTTTGTTAAAGAATTCAGTTCTGGATCCGTATCCAAGACATGTCTGGATGTACATCATGTCACAAATAGAGATGTGCATTTGTTTTATGATCTGCTTAACAATAGTGGAATGATGGCCATTTTAAGGCCGAAAATGCATCAAAATCACGTATTTTCACAATTCCAGAACCGGATCTCAGTCATGCATGGATGGATTTTGTTCAGATTTAGCACAATGTGTTGTACATATGCAGGTGCATTTCGGTCATGATCTGCTTTGAATGTATATGTCACTCAAATATGAACGGAACGGGGACGTGTCATTGACAATGACTTGTAACTTGATGTTATTTCATTTGTGTGTAGTTACGCTTTAGTAGCTGTGATTCCTGAACCATGGATACATTATATTAGGTCATTTATTATTTACCCTGTGTCATTGATCATTATAATTTGATGCTTATAATATTAAAACATTTTATTTTGAATAATTTTTTTAACGTAGACAGTATCCAGCGTAAGGCCATTGATCTTAATGACCAGCTACACTAGAATTGACAGATGTCACATCTGACTCAACCCTATACCGACAATCTTGATAATCTGTGTTCATTATTGTAACCATCTTCCTCGATGAATAAATACATGTGGGTCAATTTAGTCAAACAAGAAAACTAAATAATAAAGCACCCTCTAGTGGCTTTGGCCATTGACTCTTCCTCGAGAGACGTCACTAGGGTTATTTTTGTATGCAAATGAGAAATTTATGAAGACTTATTGATGAGCCTCGTTTTGAGATACACTAAATAGACATAGACTGAGTTTGTACGTTGTTAAACTTGAAATATGCCGATTTGTTCCAACATAGGACTAAAAAGAGATTAACTCTATGTTTCTAACAAATTTATATTTACATGTACATGGATATTATTAAGACAATTTACGTTGTCTAATATTATTGCTTGATTGAAAAAATACATAAAAGACATATGGTCAACCGAAATCTACAAGTCAGTGCCATTATGTGCGTTATCCAGTGGCCATCCTATTACACCGCTTGTACAAATTGCTGATGTGAACACAAAGATTATGCGATCTTTATCTTTTTACTGGGTACAACTTCCAGTATGTTGCCGTAAGTTTTTGTAGTGAGAACACGGTACACAGTTATCAATATTGACTGCAAATTTCCTAATTTGTGGTATTTCCTGTATCTACCAAAATAACAGAACAATCATGTCAGAACTTTTCTGGATGTCAAGTTTACAGTTAAAAAGAAAAAGAAAAAGAAAAAAAAAACATATATAAAGAACACAAAAGTTGAATATTTAAATGCACTCTAAATGCTTCCACCATTGTCAAAGATGAATCACCAAACTTGATTTGACAGACCATAAATAGGGCATACTACGGTAATAGCAAATCATAGCCTCAGCCTAGTTTTAAATTGATTTTTCAAAATTTTTAATTACAGGGAACCTAAAATGTGTTATCAGAATCAGCAGATCCAACTTGCATATCACACACATAGTTCGCTGTCACACACTGCAAATGTATTTTCATCCTACACAATACTACATGTTGTGCAGATCTTCAGGTTTATCCTTTTCAAGACCAGACTTCTTCACCCAAATTTTTCTGCACTTTTTAGCTCCGCTGTTGACTTAGTCGAGCGGAGCTTATTACATGTATATGAGTGATTGTCCGTCGGCGTCCGTTGTCCGTGTCAACAATGTACTTTTTCGACTGAATGCTTTGATACTTTATGTGTATGTACCTTGGGTAGACCTCTCTTAGATTTGTTCCTTTTTCTGATGATATCTTCAATTCTCTAATTTTTGTCATTTTTGGTAAAAAGTGATATTTTCGACTTCTTGTTAAAAACCGTAAGTCCAATTGCTTTGATATCACATATATAGGTACTACATGTGGATCTCTCTCAGATTTGTTCATTTCATGATGATATCTTTGATTCTCTAATTTTTATGAATATTTTTGTCATTTTTGGTAAAAAGTGATTTTTTCGAATTCTTATTGTAAACAGCAAGTCTGATTGCTATGATACTGTACATATTCAATTTCTAATGATATCTTCTGTTCTTTAATTGAAATGTGCATTGCTAACAGCGGAGCCATCTCAGCCAACAGGCTGCTTGTTTCAATATTTCTGGAAATGAACCCTTGTTTTGGCGCCAACAGACAAAATTTGAGTTAATTTTTTTTACTTTTTACTAAAAAAATTTTGCTATTTTTGTCTCAAACATCTGAAGGAAAGTGCAGACTATAAACAGGCCTATTTTGTGAATTTGTGATGAAAAGAGGGAACTGGTGGTGAAAAGGTTATACATGTATATGTACCAATAACTACGAATGACAGTTAAAAATAGTTCTGATTTAAAATTTTTTGGTCGAAACATTAGCATGAAATAGAACACTGTTGCACACAATTAGCATACTAGGTTCACCCAATGATATATTTGTATTGGATGATATTTCCACTTTCCACTTATTTTTTGGCCTGTTGAAAATATGCATGTGATACACTACTAATTTCTATTACGTTGTCTGCAGTTCGGATTGATGTATCATAAAAACTCAGTTATCGCTCATATTTACTAATTTCAATCTAAGTCAAAATATCGTTGTATTACGGTACTGTAAAATACTTTATTTTCGCTAATTTCGCGAAAGAGATTATTCAGTGAAAATAAAATTCAGCGAATATACATTTTTTCTCCAATATTTCATATTCAACTCATCAAAAATCAGTGAAAATTAATTCCAGCTAAAATAAAGTATTTTACAGTATCTAGACAAAATTATTATAATTGTACTTTGCCAGTGTTTATTAGATTGAAGATGCATATTGATCATTCATACTATTAGTGCTGTCAACATGTCGGTCTATTTATAGAATATGAAATGATGGACAGCACGATTCAAGCATGCGCTTGTGTTGAGAGGAACATCTGTTATCCAATGCAAACCTCTGTCTATTGAGATCTAGATTCTTTTACATACACTGAAAATAGGAAAAGAAACAACAGCTTTACATCCCATCTGAATATGCCTGACTTTAATAGCGTACAGCTGGGTAGACAAAGTAATCATTACACCACAGGTCAGATTACCATGGAATTTGAATTTGCTTAAATATTAATAATCAGGAGAATTAGCAAGTTTAGCATTTATGTGTTTTTATTTTTCTATTTTTCCCTGAAAACATACGTAATAACCCCTACCACATTTTGGTATGCGCAAGTATATTAAAGCGAAGAGGTTGTCGCGAGCGTGTCCTTGAAACTTCAAGCTGCGCAGGTTTTTCGAAAAACGTAGAAAAAACACAAGAATTAGTAGAAATGTTCCTGTATAATTCATATATGTATAAGCCCTAGGGGCAGACCAATACATACATGTGTAAGCCCTAGGGGCAGACCAATTCATACATGTATAAGCCCTAGGGGCAGACCAATTCATACATGTATAAGCCCTAGGGGCAGACCTATTCATACATGTATAAGCCCTAGGGGCAGACCAATACATACATGTATAAGCCCTAGGAGCAGACCAATACATACATGTATAAGCCCTAGGGGCAGACCAATTCATACATGTATAAGCCCTAGGGGCAGACCAATTCATACATGTATAAGCCCTAGGGGCAGACCAATACATACATGTATAAACCCTAGGGGCAGACCAATTCATACATGTATAAGCCCTAGGGGCAGACCAATTCATACATGTATAAGCCCTAGGGGCAGACCAATTTATACATGTATAAGCTTTAGGGGCAGACTAGCATCTGTGATCAGTATTTACCCAACTGCCAAATAGTCATGTGACAAAAAGTGGACTTTCTTTATTACTGGAATATTTATCTCAAATTTCATAAAGTTGTTTTTTTCTGTACAGTTATCATTCAGAAATTATATCAATATGAAATTTTCAGGAGGATCAGATGAAAGTGTATATAAATAATGTTATTCAGCATTAGTTAATCCCAGCTAAATCTAAACCAGCTGTACAACATAAAACTGCCTCCAAGCCAATAGTTTCCTTACCATACCATACAGAACAGTAAAACTGTAATTGCTTTGTAAAAATCTAACAAGAGTGACCAGTGTTATGTATTACTTGTATATCATGTCTCTGAAAATAGCAGTTTTTTGCCACATCAGTGATAATGACCAAATTAACAAAATATATTTTTGGTTTGTAAAACCCTACCATAAACTTTTTTTGCCAAACATGAAAAAGTATTGCGAAATCAATGATTTCAATGAGACTTGAATAAAAATAAATTTATTATTCAGAATACCCCTGGTATTAGCCGAATTGGAAAGACTTCACTGTTAATATCATTAAATATGGATTTTATCAGACTGTACAAAATAAAAAAATTTCCAATGAAGAAAAAAAATAATTAAAAAAAAAGCAACCAGAGCTGTTTTCAAAGTTTATTTTCTATTGCTTAGTGGAATTTTATGTGATATACAAGGTTTTTTTTGTATTTGTATTCATTTGTTTGAAAAAAAGTTTTCCTTAAAATTTACCCATTTTGCAATGTTACCTGATAATGATTCAAATATGTATATATTTTTACTGACTGTAAAATACAATAAATAGATAAATGATGGATACCGGTTTATAGAATGTTATATTAACTATTTCCGCAGCAGACTTTCACCTCGACTTTTGTGCACTTCTTTCTTATATTCTTCAATATTTCTGGGAATGAACCCTGAATTTGGAGCCAACAGAAAAAATTTGAGTAAATTGTCAGTATTTACTCATAGGTTCCTATGGCATAGATATTTTACCATATCTTAAATTGTAGGCTGGTGACATAATGTATTGTTAATGATAATGTATTTTTTGTTGTCCTGAATTTTTTCAAAAATCTTGGTTGTTGTTGGAAAATATTAGGACAAGTTTCTCAAAACACATAACTGTAACACACAACAAAATGCCATTTCATGGTGCCAGGGGACAATAGCTCCATGATTTTTCAGATGAATGAACAAATGATTTATGACCAACTGTCTCAAAAATTTATGAGTACTGGGTAGGCTTCATCCTTGTTCATAGAGAAAACTGATGATGTACTGTTTGTCAAGCATTTATTATGTAACGAATGTTCTCACTCACATTTATTTATTTGTTTGTTTGTTTGTTTGTTTATTTGTTTGTTTGTTTGTTTGTTTATTCATTCATTTGTTTTTTCAGGTTCGAACAACAGGCAATGCCATAAGAATACAGACACAGACACATATTGAGTTTCAGCTGGTGTCTTCTAATGGCACACTGCGGTTTGTCATCACCGGAGTCAAAGACAATGTGGATACTGCCATTGCATTATTACAGCGGCGTCTGACAGAGGTAAGATTATAAAAAGACAGAGCAGACTTCTAGTTTTTTAGTCCCTGTTTCAGGCGCAGCCTGAAAGTCAGACTATTAATTCTTATTTCCAGTTTCCGTCTGTGATGTCTCTAACATTTTCTCAGAAATTCTGCAGCAGATATCGATGAAACTTGGCAGATTGATGAACAAGTCTCTGCCGAATATGCACGAAATTTTTCAATTTTCAAGATCTTAAAATCCTAAGTGGGTCTTTTTCATGATTTTCATCCAAAACTACCTCTCCCAACACCACTGAGAGAACAACTGAGCATGCTCAGAATCTCAAATATACCTTGGCCAATTCACTTCAGACCTCACACATACTTAAGCCTAGCCTGATTCATACAGTACAGTTGTCGCATAGGTTTTGGCTTCTTTTCGCTACAGCATCGCTTCAGCGTATTTGCATAAACAAAAGGAACTTCACTACAATGGGGCTTCGTTTTTCAAACCGCATAGCTTCGCATCAGCTTCACGTCAGCTTCAAATAAGTTATTTATTAATCTACTTCAAAACTGAGATTACTTAGTAATTCATTTTCGCCAAACCTCTCTGCATTTTCATCGACCTACTAGCTGATTGTAATCGACGAGAGTGTTTATGGTTTATTCCCGACCATGCAAGCTTGAATGATTGCTCACATTCACTTTGAATCAAATTTATATCTTTTGGGGGGGGGGGGGGGGTTCGGAGCTTTGGAATATTTAATTTTCAGCAATTTAGCTTAAATGTAAAATTCAAAAAATATAATTGACTTGCGACCATTTTATAATACACTTCAAACTTTGTGAAGGTGTCCTTGTAGCCTCGAGCATACTATGAATGTGTGTGCATAGGCTCAAATTAAAAGCCTGGCTGGGTTAGGTTGTAAAGCTGGTTGTCTATTATAATATTTGGTAGTTCATTGGATGAATTGGTACTTGTAGACTTGGACCCATACTGTAAACGCATGTCATAACTCAAATTGTGAAATTTGAATAAAATAACATTTGTTACATATATACTTTGGGTTGATAATTTTTTTAGTAGAAATTTTTGTTTATTAATAATTATCATTTGATTATTAATATTTTCTGGTACACTACGAGAACAGCTTCTGAGAGTCAAGTGAAATGTAGTGCATAGATGTGATAAGATATTCCACAGAGCTGATTAGAATACATTTGTAGGTGTGCATATTAATTGCCTAATTTGCATAGTCATTTTTCTTCATTGGGTTACTTGCTGTATTCTCAATTCTGTGGCTTCAAATACATGTATTGTAGAATACTTTATTTCCACTTGGAATTTATTTTCGCTGAAGGGATGCTTCAGTGAAAATAAAATCCAGCAAATACACTTTTTTCCCTATATTTCACATTCAATTCATCAAAAATCAGTGAATATAAGTTCCATACAAAACACCCAAAAAAGCCTATTCAGCAAAAATTAATTCCAGCTAATTAAAGTATTTTACAGTAAAACTAATGATCTAACAAATATGCAGGGCTGTTTCCTAGGTTGAGATATTATACTAAAGAAGGGTCAATTTCATGAAACTTTTGGTTATAATACATATAATTACCAAAAACTATAATTCCATACTGTCATTGTCTACACATGTATATCACCATATTTATCGGCCTTAGCTTTCTCAAATTTGTTACTTTATACCTGGATGCCGGGTTTAAATAATATAATATTGAATAATGTTGAAACAAGTATTTTGTATGCTGCAATATGGGGCTTATGGTGACCTGAATAGATCACTTGTTATCCTCCGTATGTATTGCACATCACTATTATTCCTTTGTATTTGGTTCTTTGTCACAAAAGAACTGAAACGTTTTCAGTGACATCCTGTAGAATCATCAAACAATAAAGTCAACTTATGTCACCAATCATAAAATAAAACCCACATAAATTTTACCATATTTGTTCAACAAATTTGATCAAGACTTGTAGCTTTTGGAAAATGATGACAATTTGGTTCAAAATTAACAATGAAATTAAAGAAATATTGTTAAAAATGTGCAAAATGTTTTACTAAAATTTTGTCTGGAAAAATTAGGGCATTCAATATGTTAATAAATAGATGGAATATACAGACATTGAAGTTAAATTGATGTGTGTATGAAACGAACATGTTCTGACATGAATAAAAACTTAAGGTAATTCTTTTTTTCATTGTAATTATTTAATAATTATTGAATTTTTTAATAGTTAAGTTCAATTTAAAATGGTCATTAATGATTTGTTCATACTTTTTCAATGCCACAACTGATGTGAGAATTTATATTATTTTACTTTTATTAGTATGCCCATTTGTGTACAAATAATTTGATACACAGCCCTAATGGTAATAATTTATGCTTATATTAATATTAATATTAATATTAATATTAATATTAATAAAAAAATACAAATGTGGTTAATATTGAAGCAAGTAATTGCCATAGCAACAATAATTTTTTGTTTGGGTCTACAAACATAAATACTGTATTTGCTCTATTAATGCATACATATGTGTCTATGGTCAAAATAAGTCACAGTCTGTTTTGGCAAAATCTGTTATTTTGAATCCAATCTGCAACATAAAATGATGTGCATCAATTAGGGTCCCATGTTAGGTTGTCACACATACATGTATAAGCATATATAATTTTGGCGATCAGATTCAAGATGGCTGAAAAGAGGCCATTTTAATGTTAAAATTCATCAAAATCAAGCATTTCTGCCATTCTGAACCCTGATCTCAGATACATGGACAGCTATTGTCTATCTTAGTACATATACATAAAATGAACATATATAACATGACCATAATTTTTTTCAGATCAAATTCAAAATGCTTTTCTACGTCTCTGGCATAATTTGACTGATCACAATCACAACTTTACAACTACATGATTTGAAAAAAAAAAACAGAAATAGAAACTTGTATTTTCCCGTCCTCACTTTAAATACTCTCTTACTTCCTTAGTCTATAATAATAATAATAATAATGTTTATTTGCCATAGATTACATAAAAGAATAACAATACAACAATAAATAATGACTAATAAATATTGATAAATAATAATAATATTAATCTATGGCTGGGAAACAGAAATTAGCTCATGCTAGGGTTAGTCTAGTCTGTTTCCCATCAAAATGTATTTTTAAATAGCTATTTAATTAGCATGTAATTTAATAGTCCCCGTTTGGACGAAGTCCGAAAACGGGGACTTATAATTTGGTTTCGGTCCGTGCGTCCGTCCAGAGTCATATCTCAGAATCCCTTGGACCGATTTCGTTCATTCTTTGCATGTGCCTAGTACTCTATGTGGGACATATGCACATGCAGTGGTTTAGTGATTCGATTCAAAATGGCTGACTGGCAGCCATCTTGTTTTTTGAAAATGTTGTTTTTTGGACATGCTTTGTCAGTTTTTATTGGTCGATTGACAGCCATCTGACCTTTTGGCCTTACTACTATATTTCCACAAGTTATGTACCATTTTCATTCGTATTTGGCACATACATATCAGTGTGTTTCATAATCAGATCAAAGAAGGGCGAATAACAACTGTTTTTATTTTTGGCCATATTACTACTACACGGATTGTTTTGATGTAAATAAACAATCTGTTGTATACGCCACTTGGAACTCAAGTTTCAAGGGCACGCTTTAATATGACGAGCACAAAGAGAACTTTCAAAAATTTTTGTTTGTTTCATGTTCTGATTCAAAATGGCTGACTCATTTCAGATTTTTTTACTGTTTAATTAACAGGGACTATATAATTTTTTTTAGAACAGACGCCAAGTGACCGATGATCTTCCTGATGGTGTGAAGCCATTGACAATGGAAAATTTAAAAAGACATAACATGGAATTAACAGAGAAAAGACAGTATGGGTGCGAGCCATGTGACAATGTCTTCTGGACGAAAGTGTTTCAGTACAAACCTGTTGCTAGGTAAGTTGACAGATGTGCAAGATTGGAAGATGGCACAAAAGATTTCTGTTGATTTGGATGTAAATATCAATATTCGTTTATTTCAGATGTAATAAATGTAATGTTAAGTATGATCCAATCCCAAAAGATAAAGAGTATGGTGTTGGTACATACGAGTGTACGCAGTGTGGACGTCGATTTACTGGTAAAGCTAGGGCTGATGTAGCTGCCATGTGTTATGACTGTCATATTATGGTAAGAATAATCACATACCGAGTGTAGTTCAGTGGGTAGCATGTCACCTTGCATCAGATGTAGTGGTTGTAGTTTATTTTGTAGCTTGACACTGCACATCAGAGAGGTTGTGGCGTTAATCTCCAAAGTGACTCAGCATTGAGTTTGTTCTTATGATGCCAACCAACATGCCTTGAGAGGATAGCAATATATTTGATGGAGACAATAATCTAACGGGCTGTCAGACAGCTGATATAGCTCCACTATGTGATATGCATATGATGATGTACTATCAGCAATAATAGCTCCACTCTGTTGACTTTGTCAATAGTGAAGCTTAAAATGTCAGTCATCTGCAATGAACTTTTTTTCCCTTGATCATTAACAAAACCTGGCATCTGTTTTGCTAAATGAGGCAAACGATTGGCTCCTCACATATTGTGCCCTCTGTGGGAGCTGTTGCTTCCAGATCTGTATTTGGCCTCAAAAACAGACACTGAAACAATGTTGCTTCCAGATCTGTATTTGGACTCAAACCCAGACACTGAAACAAAACAATTGTTGTTACGTTGTAGTTTGGATTATGATATTAACGTACATGTGAATTTCTAGGTATTGCCAATGGGTATTGGACATAGACCACGTGGACCGCGTAGAACCCGCAATATACATAGTTGCCAAGCTTGTCTTAATGGAACAATCCGGCCATGTCCCATTTACAAGAGGGTGGTCATAGCAAGTGTTGTTCACGATAGCAGTGGATCTACTATATCAACATTCCTATCTCAACAGTCTGAGATGTATTATCCACCGGATTCTGGAAATTCAGCTCCATCGGACGATGAGGGCGCTGCACCACCAGCTGAACCAAAACCGGGTTCTAAATAGGATTACTAAATGATCTCTTGTATGCCACTAGGGGGTGCTATTATATAATATTAACCAATAGGTGATTTTCTGTACAATTGCGAGATCTCGCGAGATGCATGAAAGACGCGCGTCGAACGTCTGCCGCAAAAATCGAACGATTTGATTTTGAACTCATTATTAAGCATGGAAATGTCCCCCAAAATACTTTCGCGTTTGTCGAATCTCACGCGATGTTTGACGCCACTAAGATGCTAGGACCTTTGTTTGTCCTGTTTTTACGTTCGAATTCATGCATAACGCGTGATTCTCGCAGTGAACGGAAAATGGTCTATTCAATTACTAACATTCCAATAGTGATGTAAAAAAAACCAAAAAAAAACCTACATTTAAAATTTCATTATTTTTCTTGTCGCTAAAATTTATGAAAATTCACAAAATGGTGCCAACTTTCTGTCAATTATTCATTTGCCAAAAAGTTTTGGAATGCAAACAAAACCACTTTATTATTACTTAAAACCCCACAGTCATCAGGTGTATTTTTTATCTGTTTTTACTTAATATAGGATTAAATCATACCACTTGAATTTGAATTATAAATGGTTAGCTATTATTAATAAAATTGAACTATAGTATGAAATAAAATCAATATATCATAAGTTTATTATCACAATCAATAATTCAAAATGGCTACTTTTAATCCATCCCCTATTGACAGCGCCCCTAGTGGCATACAAGAGGTATACACACTTTTATTCATTCATGTACGTGTGTACATTATGATTTTAATCAAACTTTAACATTGGTGTTTGTTTGTAAAGGTTCTGTAACATGTACATGTAGATATAGTTAACAGTGTAGCAAATAGTTTATACAAAGTTATCACAATGTAGCAAATAGATTTTATACAAAATTATCACATAGTAGCTAATCCATTAATACAAACTTATCACAATATAGCTGATTGATTTTATACATTTACACAATGTATGCAATCAATTTCTACAAAGTTATCTCAATATACATTTTGTAGCTAATTGATTTTATGCAAAGTTATCACACTGTAGCTAATCGATTTTATACAGTTATCACACTGTAGCTAATTGATTTTATACAAAGTTATCACACTGTAGCTAATTAATTTTAAACAAAGTTATCACACTGTAGCTAATCGATTTATACAAAGTTATCACACTAGCTAATCGATTTTATACAAAGTTATCACACTGTAGCTAATCGTTTTCTACAAAGTTATCACACTGTAGCTAATCGTTTTCTACAAAGTTATCACACTGTAGCTAATTAATTTTATACAAAGTTATCACACTAGCTAATCGATTTATACAAAGTTATCACACATAATAGCTAATTGATTTATACAAAGTTATCACACTGTAGGTAATCGATTTATACAAAGTTATCACACTGTAGCTAATCGTTTTCTACAAAGTTATCACAATGTAGCAAATTGATTTTATACAAAGTTATCACACTGTAGCTAATCGATTTATACAAGTTATCGCACTAGCTATTAAATCGATTTTATACAAAGTTATCACACTGTAGCTAATCGTTTTCTACAAAGTTATCACACTGTAGCTAATCGTTTTCTACAAAGTTAGCACAATGTAGCTAATTAATTTTATACAAAGTTATCACACTAGCTAATCGATTTATACAAAGTTATCACACTGTGGCTAATCGATTTATACAAAGTTGTCACAATGTAGCTAATCGATTTATACAAAGTTATCTCAATGTAGCAAATCAGCTTCTACAAAGTTATAACAATGTAGCTAAATAATTTTATACAAAGTTATCACACTGTAGCAAATTGATTTATACAAAGTTATCTCAATGTAGCTAATCAATTTACACAAAATTATCACAATATTGCTAATTGATTTCATACATTTCCATAATGCTGCTAATCGCTTTCTACAAAGTTATCACACTGTAGCTAATTGATTTTGTGCAAAGTTATCACAATGTAGCAAATCAATTTTATACAAAATTATCGCAATGTAGCTATTCGATTTGCACATTTAGTTATCACCATGTAGCAAATTGGCTTTTACAAAATTATCACAATGTTAAAATTGTTGCACAAAATCAAACCCCTAAAATGTAAAAAATGCTACAGTCATAGTCATACCCAGATACTATAGGAGATACATTGTACCGAATAGGTACATGGATACTTGACAGGTACAAAAAATACCGAACAGGCACTACATATCCAGATGCCAGAAAGTTACTCAGGCAGGTACCAGGTACACAGATAAGACAGGTAGTAATAAACTCAATAAGGTAGGTAACCAGATAGGATATCAGTTACCCAGATACCAGACAGCTATCAAGAGAGAATGACAACTATCCAGATAATTATGTATCCAAGACTTATGGTGTAATGTGAAGTAATGTCACTAATTTATTAAATATAATATTTAAAATATAGTTATAATTAGAACACTTTAATGAACTGTATTTTTATGACAGGATTATCAACTGGTTTATAATTTTGATTACATTGATTCATATTCATGTTATTGAATTCCGCATCTCGTACATTTCTCTGCATATTTCTATTGGGATTCAAGCTATTTTAAAAGTATTTTGTACGTTTAGCCTGTTTGTAGGATGATGTGCGTCTCAATGAGCGTACACAGGGTCAAAGGTTATGATATACTGGGTATAGACAGCTGTGAGGTATATGTTTGATTGAGTATGATTTTATTTTATTTTATTATAATGATATTAGAACAATTATAGGCCATATTACCTGATACATTACCCTGGGTCACCTATTTGGTGCATGTTCACATTGGTCAAATATTTGTAAGGATTAAACAATTTTTATGGTCTTGTATAAACATTGACCGTGGTGTGCCATAGATATTTAATGTATTCAATGATGAATTATTCCATAAAGTGCAATGCATTGTGGGGTTTTGATACCCTTCACATTTATTTTATTTTCAGTTTTATTTTGTGATTCTTGTTATGAATCATATTTGTCAGCCATTTCAAAAAAAAAAAATAACAAAACATTAACACTAGAGGGCGCTAAACTGATGAATTGTTCTTTACGGTAATTCTTTCATCACACTTTGTCCATGGAGTTTTGTTCAAAACTACTAGTAATTCGGTTTTGAAAATAATGTATAAAATATATTGGACATGATTAATTTGTTTGCATTTGTCGTTTCTGTACTTGCAATGAACTTGTCAAAAAAAAGTATGAAAATTATATGGCTATTTTTACCAGGTTTATTTTTTGAAAAATTATTATTCGCAAACACAACATTGTGTGGTCAATTACTCGTACATTTATCAAGTATTGTTTTCTCAGACATATCATTTGGGGGTTATTTTGTGACATTATGGCTAATTCAACTGCTAATGAATTTTGAAATTCATGGATGGGCATTTTTATTGCATTTTGAAGATCCTGCTTACATATATGTAAAAAATATACCTAGAATAGGTTGTTGCAGAATTACCGTATATTTGTTACAATAAAATGTACTGTGTAGGGCCATTTTATTAATGGTTACTTATAAATTGAAGAAGTTATTATAAAAATGAACCATTTTAATAATTTGAGTCATTCTCGAAAAATAAAATAAACAGTATACAATTTATCCATCGTACAATGTATTTTTGATGTAAATATTTTTGAGGAATATCGCCTTTTGATCAAAACTTAAGACATTTTAATTGGTTTATCGGTAATTGGAATATCATTTAGACATAGTCAATATTTTTAAACTGTTGTATAACAGGCCATTTTTTTCTGTGGCTTTTTTAAAATTTTAAATATATTACAGATTTTGTCATCAGTACTGCACAAACGCACGCTACACATGTGTTATCTTGTATGAGCGTGACTTCGTAGAAATAATCTTATAAGGATGAAGGGAGAGAAGCTTTTCAACTGCTAGTATTAGTTTTACCAAATAAAATATTTACTATGTTGTCATGGTTACATTTAATTACAGGCTGCCAAGTTATTGACAGCGTGAATGTCTGTTGCTGAGAGTATAAATTTTTATTTAAATTTGTCAGCAATTTACAAACTGCAAGTTACTATCAGTTTTCACGACTTTGATACATTTTTGGCTGTTGTGAATGTCATTGTGACTTGCTGTCTTCCATTGAAATGTTACAAAATTTGGAGGTTTACCTGACTAGAATTTTAGTCCCTTAAATATTGAGCAGAGAATTGAGAATGAAAGAAGATGAAAGTTGCACCTATTGTAGCTTAATTCACTGCTAAGTAAAACTGGTAACATTTAAACCACAAAATGTTCATGTATTATATCGAAGGTGTACATGTAATAAATATATACTTTGTGTGGTGCAAAGACTTGCTTCAATGGTTGCAATATAATTTATTTTATGAACAGTATTTGGTTTCTGCAGTAATTCTGTTATTTTATAATCAAGTAAAGCCAGAAATGAATTATTGGCATTAGTTGATGTTCATCTTGTCCAATCACAAGATGCATTTCTGGAAATTAATTGTGATTGGCTTAATAATGTCCAGCGTGGCGAATCACAGCATTCATTTCATATGATGAATTGTCATTGGCTTATTAGTAATGTTCATCTTGGCCAATCACAAAATTCAGTTTCAGTGACTTGTAATTTATGTAGTATTTGCTGCGTTTTACAAATGAGCAACGATTTATTTATAGATGGGGATTGAAAAACAAGATGTAATTTTGTTAATTGTATCAATCACAAAGAATATGACACTTGGAGTTGCATCTATAAGCACCCTTCTAACACAAAGTGAAACTGGCATCCCTGGTTGCCATGGTTACATTTAATGACATTTACTCGCCATAAAGTTCAAAAAGAGACTACTGAAGTGGCATATCAGTGTTAAAATAAAATTGTATATTTTTGCTTCAACTCTTTCTGCTTTAGATGTTTTAATTATGATATTTAATTTACTGGATTTAGGTATTTGTAATTTAAATGTAGATTGTATTGAATGTGATTAAAATGGCTAAGCAGATGTAATGTCTGGGTACTTTATTTGGTGAGGAATGGGGGGGGTAAAGTATAAATATAGATACATTGTATATGTAAAGATGGTGCATATTACAGAAAAGTACAATGCAGATGTACTGCCACACACCACTAGTTTCACTAGCAAATAAACTTCCCTGGTGGGAAACTAGCAAACATTTTGCATCTTAAAACACTGTTAGGAGAGTCAGTAATCTGAAGTCCAGGACATGCACAAATTGCCCATTTCTGTGGACTGGTGAATAAAAATATCAAGTCTGTGCAAACTGACCAAATGGGGTCGTCCCAAAGTGGTAATGTTGCTTTCAGACTTGTGAAATTTGTTTTTGCTAGGGACAGCCACAGGACCTATATGAATTTCTAAAAATAACATCAGAGTTACAACTTTGAGAACTATTAAAATGGTTAAAACAAAACCACATCAACATTTCCGACACTACGTACATTCAAAAATTCATCAAATAACAAATACAATATAGTTTATAAGCATATTTTATTATTTGGAAAAAAAAAAAAATTAAACAAGTTACTCCAAATTCACCTCTTTTTAAGATGTATACAGTGACAACAGATTTAAGACCTATGCAGAATGCAACTTAAATATAATTTGTATTTACGGTTAGCTACAATGACATTAAATAAATGGCTAATATAAAAAAAAAAGCACCCTGTAAAAAGAATGCACGACAATAATCTCTTTGAGCTTAAACTGATGTGAATTAAAACGTCTATACCTGTATACTGTTGAAGGGGTAGCAGTATTTTTTAATCGTTCAATACTGAGCCTTGAATATCTTTACGACAGTCGCATAATATGACATGTATTTATGAAAATACCATGCAAGTAGTTCAGTATTGAAATTGACCTTGAGCAAAAATCTAACATTTTATTTACCTCATGCTGTTTAATTTGGTAACTACAAAGTCATTTACAGCTCAGTCTTACAGATTAAAAAATATGGCAAAAAAATTGTGAAAAACGTAGATGTCCTTTTAAGAAATGGTAGAGAAAGTTAATCAATACATTTGGGGTTATTTTTGTTATTACACTCAGGAACAATTCAGCATAACCCAATTTGTTACCAAATGGCCATTTTTGAACATGAACTTGAGGAACACAGCGTCCCTATTTTATGACTACACTGCCAACAGACTAGTTTGAAGTTCCCTGCGTGCTACGGGACATTACTGAGTGCATAGAAAACTGGGTAGGTCAATGTTGAAACACTCCTGCTCAACAACAGTAGCTTCATAATATATATTTTTTTTGTTATACAATAAAGCAAGATAAAATATACATCTGGATGTAAATTGTAAATATTTCCACAAAATGTGTTTCTCATTCAAAAGCACACAATGATGAGAACAAAATTATAATTTGGTATCCATACATGATACATATATAGGAAGAGTAATAGCTGAGGAGTTGTATACAGCTGATGAAAAACTGAGGCAAATACCCACCCACCCACCCACCCACCCCCAATCTGTGATGGGCATGCGCACACAGTAATATACATGTAGCAGGTAGGAAACTCAAAACTTATTGATTACATATTTAGTCATACTGGCACTTGCATAGTTCATAAATATGGCACAATGGATTTAAAGTTCACTCTTTTATTGAATTTTTCCCATGCTGTACCACTCACATTTGGCTGATGACAGTCCAGGCTCAATGTTCAAAAGAATACAACATGCTCATTTGTAATACGTTTGTCTGGTACTATTTTGCATTAAAAATCAAATAAAGTATTCTCTAGAAATATGAGGTTATACTAATACCTATACATGCCATTGTGAACGTATTGACAGATATGGTACATACATGTAGCAGATGACAAAGTGGTTGCAGTGGTGATCTCATATCATTATGCATCTTTAATCTGATTCAAGGTTTATTTCTGCAAAATATTTGTATTTTGAACAGCATACTTCCTGGCTCGCATAAAAAAAAAGTCTCAGTTCCCTGGTAATGACACGGGTATTCTGAAATTTCATTTGGATAAAAGTTTCTTCACAGACAGCCAATTCATGTTGTTTCCAGTAAGGGACATAACATTATACATCAATGAGGTTTAACCTTGTTTATGACAAGTATCTACATAACAATAAGCAAAGCCGAGACAGACATCCAAGTAATCACATTGCACTACAAGTACTAAGTACAATCAATAAATATAAAAGACTGTCATGATTGGTCACAACATGTACCCCGAGCCTCCCCCCCCCCCCAGACTACAACAATATTTGTTCATTCATTTTTTTTTTGAATATTCAAGATGGCGATGTCAAACATGGTTACACAAAATAATGCAGATTTGGCATTTGTTACTAATGGACGACTCTTGATTTAATAGTTAAAACAATCATTCTTCAATCAAATTTTGATGGAATACCTTGTTCTATTAGAAGTACACGCTCTTACATAAATGACAGAGATGTATCTATGGTCATAATATGAGGTTATTACGAGGATACTGCAAAGTATGCACGAAGATAGTACAGTGAGAGTATTGAACTACGTGCAGCAGAGGTCGATGCAACCACATACTGTCTGAGTGCATACTTTGTAGTATTCTCGTAATAACCTTATTATTATACATCTTTTTCTCCCAGGAATACATCATGGGAATGCCGAAATCCAAAACGCTTAGAACAGATTTAGCCAACTTCTTTGTGTGTGAGTCCAGTCAAAACCCTGGTGGCAGCCATGTTTGTTTTTATTATTAGAGGACGGTTATGTGCATAATCGTTCCATATTTGGAATTCACGTTTCCAGATATGGTAGGATGAAAATACCCCGTAAAATGCAGCAAAAATACGACACGCTGTAACTTATGGCTTTACGGTGACAGATGTATAATAATAAGTCATAATACAATATGCAATAAATGTCATTGTTGGTCAACATGCACTTCTATTAGAGCAAGCATACAACAAAAAATGAAGTTGGCATGTGAAAATATTTCGTTGTTTTGTAAATGCTTTTCACATTATGTTAATTATTTATTATTGGCTATATACTCTACTATGCTGATAACTAGTTTTATCACAGCTATTAATGGAAAACACTTCAATTAAGTCTGATCAGTGATTCCTGAAGAGGTAAAATAATGATGCAAAGTGACTTTTACTTAGAATGTACAACACAACACAGATTAAAAATAATGCAATATAAAAATTATTGGAACCACAAGACTTACATGTTGTATTTTCTTTGTATATGTTAGGGGCAAAATATAAATATGACAGACATTCAGAAAAAAATCACCACTGTATGTCACAAGGTTGAAATAAATATAAACAGAAGTTGCCAGTATAAAACCGAGAGAGGGCAGTGTAACCTAAAAATTGTAACATTACATTTGTAAATTAATTTTAATAAAAGGAATAGAAAAGATCACATGTGAAAACTGATTTTCTTAGTACGTAACATCGAATGTTGATAATGGTCAGTCATTGATCAGTACATATTCCTAACCAAGTAATGTATTTTATAGTGTTGTACACATCGCATGGGATGCACACCAATCATGACGTGATGCAACAACTATGTGATGCGATGACCATGACGTGATGCAACAACTATGTGATGCGACGACCATGGCGTGATGCGACAACTGTGTGATACGAAGACTACAACATTTTAAAGCACTATACCACCAGTCAGTTTTGTATCTCGTATAGGCCTGAAGCAGGAATAGTTGATGCCCAGCCCAGATCGCTGCTAATATATTAATAATTGATAACTAGCATTTTCAATGCTTTTTTTCATCATGTCATGTCATGTCAGACTGCAATATTTAAGAAGAATAATCTCTGAATTTTCTCTGTAAGTTGTTTTGCATGTGTTTTCACTGTTAGTGAAAATATACATCTCATGCGGAATAGAGAAATTTGATTTTCCTGAAAATAATGCATATGCACCACCTGATACACTTTACCAGTGTAAAGTTGAAGCATATTAATATCTGTCTTAGAAATGCTAAAATCATGCTTTTTTATGTGAAATAATACATCTCTATATGCTATTTACAAAATACAAAATCAATAAATCCCATCGGTAAGTTATGTGTAACATTTACATACATCTTTTGTACTTGAATATGACTGGTTAACAGAATCACATTTGCATGTTTCCATGGTTTCATTAAAAAAATTAGCACATTGGCCTTATGACATCATCATAGACTTTCATCACTCTCATTGGCTTGTAGCATGTCATCTGACTGTAACTGGACATCATCTCCTTCAATCTCCATTTCATTGTCGTTGCCTGCAGCATCAGCTGCAGCGTCAGCGTCAGCAACAGCACCAACCACAGCTGCAGCTACATCAGCAATAACTAACAAAATAATATGTTATTAGTATCAGGGCAAGTTATCTGAGAATAACTGAGTATTAGATTATTTTTTTAAGTGCATTAACAATCATTCAGTCAATATACATATATACATATAAAAGTTAAAACTGAAAACAGTGAAAAGGAAACAAGTTAACTTCACTGAGTGACATATGCAAATGAAAATATCATTCCATATCCCCTGGAGCGGAGCTACATCAAAATACATCCCACATTGCTAAGACGCACACCAGTGTACCATATATTTCTATGGGCTCTGTGCGTGCTGCTTGTGAAAATAGCTAAATTCCAGAAAACACAAACTTAACTAAAATGTAGTCCTGAACAAACAAATGTATCTGTGTTACACATGCAGAGGTAATATTGTTACACTGTTCGGAGGAGTCTCAACAACCATCCCAAAGTACCGTTTTCTAAGAGCTTTCGGCCTTTGTTTTCACCATGATGGTTGGTGAAAATGCATGCATGTCTGCCCCCGAGAATACCAGTAAGTAATGTCAAATCTGCATCATGAAAATCCATCAATGAGTACGAGTATACAAATACAATACTGGGTCAATATGCAAATCATTTCCATATAAGGTACTGTATGCAAATGTAATGATGCCAAATAAGGAGATACCTTACCTGCAGCATCAGGGTTTACTTCACTGAGTGTTGTATCCGTTGGATCATCATCATCTGGTAAATATCTTTTATCTATAGCTTCTTTAATTTGGTTATTAGTCCCTTTGGGGTCCAGGTCCATCGCCCAACTAAAATTCATTAAAGCCAAGTGGGTTTGTCCCAATTTTTTGTATACCTGTTGACAACAACATGGTTCAACTGATTTTTTTCTAATTCATGGAATATAAATGATGGAACAAAATATTAAATCATTTTAAATAATAAATCATGATTACTGTAAGAGAATGTGGCACAAAGAAAAATGTTTTGTTGTGGTTTTGCTGATTACTGTGGTGTAGTAAAGCTAGACTCGATGAAAACTCAATTCACTAGATACAATTCATCAATATAAATACTTGCCAACTATTTTGTTATATTTACCGAGATATTTTTTACTTAATTTAATTGTCTTTCTGACCATAACACTAACTGATTCACTCACCTTTCCTAGTAGGAAATACACTAAGGATTCTTTGGGTACAATCTCTTTAAGTTCTTCAAGCTCGTTTAGTGCTTCCTGTAAATTAAAATATATTTTGATTACTGTTGAATTCAAGTATTATTCAGCATTTCCATTCAATTTTGATAGTAGGGGTTTTGTACAAGCAAAGGTAATAAGGTGATTTTCCGTTCAACTGCGAGATATCGCGTGTTGCATGAAAGACGCGCATCTGCCGCAAAAACTTAACGATTTATTAATTTTGAACTTGAATTTCTTTTATCCCGTAGCTCACATCGATCAGCCGTTCTTCGACAGAGGAATATTGCTTTTGAATACCCTCACTTAATCAAAATTGCCTATCATCAAATGTGAAAAGCACATTATTAAGCATGGAAATATCCCCAAAATAGTTTCCCGTTTCTTGAATCCCACGCGATGTTTGATGCCACTATGATGCTATGACCTTTGTTTGTCCTGTTTTTACATTCGATTTCACGCATAACGTGTGATTCTCGCAGTGAACGAAAAATGGTCAATTTATTTACTACAGTTGAAAAATTTACTCTACTATTTCAAGCGAGCTTTCTCACCCTTCCTTTTATAACATGAGCGTGCAAAATTGAGATTGAGGGTTAAATACTCTCTGTAGAAGATGAATAGGAACAGTTAGCCCATTATGCTACTTCTCAAACCTGCTTTCTATCAAATCCAATTGGGTGGCTTCTAAATCATTATATTAATCGCTAATTTACTAACCACTTTCACAAACCATGTGACTGATCAAATTATATTATTTTACTCGTAAGAGGCTTCGGCCATACATGTTACTGTAGAATACTTTATTTTCGCTTGGAATTTATTTTCGCTATTTTCGCTGAAGGGATGATTCCGTGAAAATAAAATCCAGTGAATGTACTTTTTTTCCTATATTTCACATTAATCTCATCAAAAATCAGTGAAAATAAATTCCAAGCAAAACGCCCAAAAAGCCTTTTCAGCGAAAATTAATTCCAGCGAAAATAAAGTATTCCACAGTATATACAAAACAGGGACACAAAACATCTTTTATTTGAAAATCAAAAATGGCAGTGAAAACACATGGTTAACTTAATTTTTGTCATGCCTGCAGGAGTTCAGTTCATAGATGCAACATGGAAAATTACTAGTACAAGGAAAGAGGATAACTGAGGCAAACCCCTGAAAACTGTCAAACTTTATTGTGTTCAGTGGTTCTGAAACAGATTTGTGTGCATGTTTTTCATGGGGTGGGGGACATAGTGGAAGAAGTCATGTGACTGCTTAAGTTTTTATTTGTGATATTGGTGAAAGATATACCAGTGATACTACAAAAAAAAAAAATTGGAATGCCCAGAACCTCAGAAAGGGTTCAAAATGGCTGAGATGGCTACTGAACCAGTTGACCAATCAAAATTTCAAGTAAACAAACTACACAAGGGTCTACCATTATACAAAATTTCTGTGTAGCGGTTTTCTCAAGAAGACTTCAAGAAAAAAACAAACCAAAATATCTTTGATGATGAACCAAGAATTAATTAAGAGAACAAAGGAGAGCGAATAGCAAGCAACATCAGAATTTAACGTACCTGATACTTCTCAGTAGCAAATAATATTGATGCTTTATGAAATTTACAAAGTGCATTTTTAGGGTTTGATTTCAGTGCTATATTAAGTGTTGATAAAGCAGCGTCTGATTTCTGTAATGCATGCTGCACCTATAAGAGAAACAGAGAAAATACATTTTGATATCAGTAGACAGATTACATTTGTATAATAGTTTCTCCAAATCAATTGAAGTTGTATTGCTGCAACATTGTAGTGTAGTAATATGCAAGCAGTTCCAAAGATTGTGTTGTGATGAAGTTTTGAACATCTGAGGGTGTCATCAAGTGATTGAATCACACACTGGATTCTCTGTGGTTAGTTGTGTTTAGCATATACCCAAAGCAGAATGCAATAAAGCAATACATGACAGGATTTATTAAGTCCATGAATTGTGATTTCAATCAGTACAGCTTGTGAATGCAGTAACTTTCACATTTGATTTTTGGCTTACTCATAATTTCAACTCAGTTTGCCAATAACACAACTTTAACACAAGACGAGATGGTGGGGTATGCTACACAAACTATTAAAAATTTGTTCAAAAGTTGGCAATGTTTTTGGTATTCCATTTGATCTTGCGTTTCATTTATAACAGTGTTCCAATAGAGGCTGCCGTGTTGTTAAGTTAGTTTGACAAGTAGATTATTTATTGCAGTGTTTTATGTACATACATTGTACCATCTTTATCACCTCAAGTAAAAGACTATCGTTACTTACGACTCCAATGTGACACAATAAAGCTGAACTTTGTGAATTAATAGACAATGCTTTTCTGTAATGCATCTCAGCTAATGCAAATTTTTCTTGTTTATAGTAAATCATACCAACACCATACCTAAAAAATAAAGATTCTATAATTAAAACTAAAACAGTAAAACCTGTCAGAATACAATAGTACAGGAATCAATATCACTGTTCTGTTCACAGAAGAGGTAAATGGCCCTTTCATATTTATACCAGTTTTGGTCACACAACTATTGAAAAATTTTAAGAGGCCGGTGTTCAAACGCTGTTTAGTCAAATTCACAAGAACAAGAATAATATAAATGATATCTTACCATGCGTTATAATGTCTAACATCAATTCTGATGGCACTCCTAAAACATGCCAATGCTTTTTCTAATTCTTCTGTTAATACATATTCATGTCCAAGTAATGTATAAGCATAAGCAAAGTTTGGATTACACTGTAATAGGAAGAGATGGGTCGCTTAAACTGTGACACAACATTGCTAAGATAACACTACAACTTACTACATGTAATTAGTAGTATAAAAACAGGCGCTGAAGACAGATACAACTTTGTCTTCTCTGCTTACAGTTTAAAAAACTCATATTATGGGATTATACAGTACATAAAAACACTAGACTTCCACTCACCTGAATTGCTCTTTGGAAAAATTTGATAGCTGTATCATGTTCTTTTTGAAGACTAAAACAGTTCCCTGTTGCACACCAAGCCTGTTGGTAAATCAATAAATCAGTGAGTAGTACGACAACCCTATACAAGCTGGTCAGCAGTTTTTAAAGTATCGGTATGCCCTGCCATCCTTGTTCATAGTTCAGTCTCGTCTTTGCCTTGTTACATTTGTTGATGTTTGGGATGGTTGAATTCTATTACATAGCATCTATTTGAATAAAGTGTTCAAATCTGGTTCAAACACAATCTTGGACAATGAGTGTGGTTTGTCCATTATTGCACAGGTATGGACCTATACGTTCTTTGATTCACATAATTTGTTTAGGTCTTGACCATCTATTTATCTTGGGGTCTATCCATGTTGTTTTATAGCTCTTCCAAGTATTCTAAGGGTGGTTCATATGCCTTGAACTGTAAAGCATCCCATGCTTGAAAACAAGCATAATTTTTTTCAAACAAAATTGACAGTACAATCTGTAAATATACATGATAAACAGAAAACAATATTCATTTGTTGAAACCTAACTTACCTCTGGGGCTTCTTTGTCAATTTCTACAAGTTCCTGTGCCAATGCTGATAGTTCCACCTCCCTTTGTAAATGCCATAATGTAGTTGAATACATCTCCATCCCTTCCAAGTAGTATGGTGCTATCCTACGCACTTCACCAAAGTACTTTTCAGCCTACAGGAATAATAAAATATTGATAACTGAACACCTTCAGTAAGAAGTAACTGACAAACTCGTTTATATAGTATGTTAAATTGTTCACTACTGATTTATTTATAAATTCTTACAGTGTATGTAATTCTTTATTATTTATCTGTCTAACAGTGATAAATCAGAAGTTTATAACAAAAGCATTTATTCTATCCTGCAAACTGGGGTATTTTTAGACAAATTTGTCAGTCACATGTAGATCTCAGAGCCAATGAAGAGTTGCAGCTAATGAGAAGGGAGAATTAACAAGGCAGATGAGATGACGGAAGCTGTATGATAAGGGTTAGTGTACTGGACTGCATCAAGTTCAGGATAGAATACAATCACAGCAGGCATTAGTTTGTTTCCTTGGATGTACAAGAATTAGGCGAGGGTTCTTCGAACCCGCCTATTCACATAGTTCATACCCACCATAGACTCCAGTCAGTCAAAATGACTATTTTGAACTGTAGGCATTAATCAGCGATTCTGCCGGTGACGGAGAGATAGAATCCAGGTCAGGGGAAGCCCTATGACCTCAGATTCTTTTACCCCTTACGTCACGAACCCACGTGACCGAGGCCACCTGGCACGCCACAGGTAGCCGTCCATCACTCTGGTTCCTTTCTCTCGCCTCGAGGACTTAGACCAACGCGACGGA